AAGTTTTATGTATTCAAACTTTTTTACTAATTATCGCATGGATAATTATTTTAAAAACATGATTTTTGAAATAAAAAGCAAATTTATTAAGTATTTTAGACATATTCCTATTATTTTTTATTTAGGGGTTCTTATTGATCCATACTTGAAGGATATTGGCTTTTAAATTTTGTTAAATTTTTTGTATGAGAACATAATAATAGATATTGATGATGGTCAGACTATTACGACTCTTACTCATCATAATACTATTAAATATTATTTTTAAAGATTATATGATGAGTATGCAAATAGATATAATGTAAGTACACCTCAACCTATACCTTCTACAAGTTCAAGACGAGGCAAAGGTAAGATTTTTTATAGGCAATTAATGATAGAGAGGCTAACTGGTAGTAACCGTAGATCTGGATCTGGATCATCAAGGAAAATTTCTAAAATTGAACAATATTTAGCTGCACCTTCAGTTAATTCTCAAAATAATGATTTCGATATTTTGCTATGGTGAAGAGTATATGAAACATTTTCATATCTTATACTTTTCATCATGGCTCGTGACTTATTAACAATGCAGGTTTCTACAGCAGCTTTGGAATTCGCCTTCAGCACATCAAGATGTTTGATCGACAACCACAAAATATCTCTAGATTTGTCTATCATACAAGCGGTAATGTGCCTACAAGATTAGTAGAGGTCCGAGAAGAAAACTCAAGGCATCGATCAGATAGCTAGTATTAAAGATAGTCGTAATGAGTTGACAATAGGAGATAGAGAGTATAAATTACTCATTAGTTTGTAATTTTTATTTCTTAGTTGTAAATTAGTGATAAATTATTTTGAAAAGATTTATAAATGACAGTGATATAGAAGAGTATGTGTCAACCTAGTTGGGATGTATTCATCTATTATGATGATAAATTTTTAAAAAAAATTGTAATTGTTAGTAATTAATGATAACGAGTTTATTTTGTCTTTTTAATTTCTATGATATTTGTATTTGTAAATTGTATAATTATAAGTTATTAATAATATGATTGAATTTTTATCAAAATTTTGCATATTTTAATTACTCTTGAAATTTTAACTTTTTGTAAAAAATAATTTTTTAAGCAATTAAAAAAGGAAAAAACCAGGCCAGGCCGGCCCGGATCTGCGTCCGGTCCACCTATTTTGCCCGGCCTGTACCCGAATTTCTGGGTCTGGTCGAGCCGGCCCAAATGGATAGGCCCACCTATAATCCTCCTCCTATTTTCTTACATGAATTTCGATATTTACTCATTTCTTCGGTAAGGTGCAACAGAAATTTCATCCTTCATAAAGTGCATGTAAAGTTAATCATGATGATGAAACTTGCAATGGGTATATCACGAGGCTTGAAGGTGAAATAAACTGAAGAATAAGAAACAAAAGATGTTTATAACTACACACTGTTTTTACCTTTGGCCATGCATTTTCCTCTCATTCTGATCTCTTATGTGTTATGCTAACATACGTGAAAATTAGCGTTTTCAATGCACTAGGAGCAATGCTAGTTCCAAAGTTAGTTTACACGCACATGTGCAATACGTGCACAATGCGAGTGAAACAAGGCACGCTCCAAACACATAAATTTTCAAGATATACAAGCATGCATAAAAAATATATATTTGTGAAATTTCACATAAAAATGTCAAAGACTCAAGATAAATTATATATACTACCAAATCACAATATAAATTCTTACCCATCAAAGCACATCAAGTTGTCTACTAAAACAAAGCAAATAAGCATCTAACAAATTCATAAACTAACAAATATACTACATAGATTTAGTGAATCGCACTTCTATTTTATTTTTCATGCAATCATACAAATTATTCATTGTCCTTTATTACATCACTAACAATTGCACTCCTAAATTTTCTATCAGTTTTGAATTTGATCGTTACTACTTGCATCACTAATAATTACATTGACTCATATTAACTATGCTAACATTCTAATGCATAGGATATCTCTAGACATATCTACCACCACCGAAAGCCAACCACCATTTTTTTACTCAAATATACACCATTAAAAGCACAGCAACATGAACTAAAGAAAGGGGAAAAAACGCAGCAGGAACAATATAACACAGTAGCAGCAGAAAAAAATTTGAAGCAACGGCAGGAACAAATACAACAAGAATGAATTCAAGAAAGAAAAAATTTGAAACATAGCAATAAGAACTCAAGAATAAAAAGAAAGCGAAAAAAAAGGAAGGAATGGAACAAAATGAACAAGAAACAATGGAACAACAGGAACGAATTCAAGAATAAAAAGAATGCAAAAAAAAAAGGAAAAGAAGAAAACTAACCTGATCATTGAAAGAAACTTGAAGGAATAAAATGTCGCCTAATGTAAGTGAAGGAGTAATGAACCTCTATGAGCCCTAATGTTGTGGATGAGCCCTAATGTTCTTGATGAGGGCTTATTATGTTTTAGGTTTAAGTAAGAAACGGGTTCATACCCAATAACCTGCTATTTATTAAAACAATTCATCCCAAAACGCCCCTTTTCTTAAGGAGATAGCCTCATTCGACGCGCGAGGCACTTACAGAGCGCTCCAAGGCGGGCGCTTGATACAAGTGAAGTGCCCCGCACCACGTGCAGGGTGCTCCTCCATCGCACCGCATCACCTTGCTCTCCAGGCGTGCGCCTGGGACTGCCATGGCAAATAAGTAAATTGGAGATAATACTATATGAAAACTAGTCTCTCCTCCTTTTCTCCGGCTTCCTCCTCTTCATACTCTTCATCTTCTTACGTTTTCTCGTCGCTCTTCTCCTCCTCTTCTTCTCTGGTCTCGTCCTCCTTTTCTATTTCCCCTAGTCCTTTGTCTCTTTCTCTTCCTTTGTTTCTTCCTCTTTGTTGTCTTCTTCTTTCTTTTCTTGTTGAGGTCCTGGTCTCAGCATTTTCCCAACATTTGTTCCTTCATTGTCGCATCTTGTTTTACTATTTCTTTCTCATTATCAATTATGGCTTTGCCACCACTTCTTTTTGTGTTAGTGCTGTCGTCGCCACTGCCTTTTTTTGTTGGTGTTGTCGTTGTCGTCGCCATCTATTCCTATATTCTTACATTGAGATTTGGTAAGAACCAAAAAGTATATTGAGTTAAATCGTGTAAGAGGAAGCAATTAAATAAAACGTTCCAGTCAGATGAGATATAAGCATTCACATATTAATTTAATCTAAAACAATCTCACGCTTATACCTTAATTTCGTGATGCTTGCATTAGAATTTCGACTTAATTAAAAAAGTATATGTTGTTTCAAAATATCCATAAGATATCTTAAGAATCTAAATATTTATTCCTATAATATATTAAGAACCCATTAGATTTTTAATATAATTATTAGAAAACATCAGATGAAGCAAGGAGAATTCAAGATAATATTTTGGGTAATTTGTGTAAATATTTTTTTTTAATTGTAGGGAATACTTCTGTAATAGGAAAGTTTTTAGTTTTAAATATTTATATGTTATATACTTTTCATGGTGTCTTCTGTTCTATTAATATATTAAGAAGAGACGCGGGTGAACCAAAACCTCCTTTTTTAATAGAATTAGTAAAAATATGATATCAAATCAATAAATAACAAAAAAAAGACAAATTCAACAATAATATTGTAAGAGGAAGACTAATTCACAATGTTATTTATTCATCCCTGAGGTGCAACAGAATTTCCTTCCCGCAGAATGATGAAACTTGCAATGGGTTTATCGCTAGGCTTGAAGGTTAAATAGAGTGTAGCAGTGTTTTTAAAGGCATGTGTCTCATTGCACCTCATGCACCCTACGACGTGGGGCGGTGGTGAAGTGCCCTACATCTGATGTGGTAGTGCCCTTTTGCGCCTCTCAAGCAACCTACACGAGGACGCTTCACACAAAATGCATACAAGATATAGCCTCATATGTTTTTATTCTTTTACATTTCAATCATGTCTTTATACCCGTTATTCCATATTTCAAAAAGGAAAATAAACACATTAGGTCATTTTACTATCCGATTGAGGATCCTAACTCGTGCTCGATTACTATTAATTTTGCATCGATGTTAGTTTTGTTTTGAAATTTGATTTCTAAAATTATGAGCTACGACTATGTTTAATGTGTTAGCGTCATGAATTAAGATTGTATTTTGTTATTTGCTAGTAGGTATTATTATCTTGACATATTTTGAAAATTTACATGGGCGTTGTGCTCCTTGCTTGACTCGGACGTGCACATCGCATTGCGTCTTGCTCATGAACGCGTAAGGAACTTTGCGCCCCGCAATATGCATCGTTCAATGATAACATTGAAGTGAAGTAGATAAGAAGTCACAAAATTTTGTTTTTATTTTTGAACTACGCAATATTTTGNCCCCCCCCCCCCCCCAATAAAAAAAAACCCCGAAAAAAACCTCACAACTCCTATGCGTTTCATGCTACATGAGAAAAGGACACTGACTCCTTTTATCACATCAAAGAGAGAGATCAAAGGACTAGGACTAAAGAGGGAGCATATAGATACCTGGATCATGCAAGGAATTGACTTTGTTAGGACCACTCTTAAGTGAGATATAGAACCTCAACATAATTGAATGGTGGAAATAGGACAAATGACTAACCCCAATAACCTACTTAACCAATCAATATGGGTCCTGTTTACAAACAGTTCATCTACGAAGCACTGGTAGTTACTTCATCAAGCCATAATGCATCAGACGTACTGCTTGGACATGACAAATTTTGTTGTCATTGTTGTTCATAGAAGAGACATGTCGTATCTTTTCTTCAGGGATCTCCATGTTTGTGCTTATCAAGATTCACTCCCTACTAGTAATGCATGTTGAAGTTCCCCTACTCACTGGATGTAAACGGTGATAGATAGTATTTGGGTAAATGAGGATACTTTTTTCTGAAGAACTGCATTGCGCAAAGTAGTCTGAAGTTGCAATAAAAGTTAGAAAGGATAAGGACTCCTTGATGAACTAACCATATGCATCACAAAATATATCCTCCAAAACCTTTAATGAAAGTACACCTGCTCCTCACATATCAACCCTTTCAATTCTTGATTAGGTTCCACCTGATACACATCAAAGCCAATTCAGAAATTTGTGATGTGATACAATAGATGGGCCTCTCTAAAGAAAATCATCGTAAAATGCTAGGTATAAAGAGGAAAGAAATAGAGAATATCATGATGAATCATCAACAGAAAGACCCAGACCAACAATTTATATTATCTCTATGTTGTTAGTAAAAATTTCTCTTGATATTATCCGCGACTGTAATGAGCAATGGCTAGAACGTGTTTGTGCATTTTTCTTCAATACTTTTATGTTGCTATCATAATCTGGCATGCCCCCAAGACAATGATGTTGGGCAATCATGCGCCTTGCGTTACTAAACTACGACGTCAAAGGTGCCTCTTAGCTGCAAAATGTAATCTACCAGTGCACCGCGAAGTCCACCACAGTCCACCACATATTTCATGAAATAACAACGTTGAACAATTTCTATTCAAATAAGACACGTAGCACTTCTACATACATACATACATACATACATACATACATACCTGAAAGACCCACCCATCTGATCCCATCCCTCGCATCTAGACCCTCTCTTCACCGTCCTCTCTGTTCTGAGCCATACTTGGGTGGGACCCGCGCTTGAGGAGGTTGCTGATCGATGGTTTAGCTCTCTGGAGGTGAAAGGAGAGGTTTTGATGGGCAAAGAGGGGGAGGAGGGGCGAGGGGAATCAGGGTTTTGGGTCTCCAATGAAGGATTTGGGGCTCTCATGAAGACGAATTGGACGTCGGGGTTGCTGGAAAATTCTAGGGTTTCGTCAGGGGTTCTGAAGGAATTTGGGTTTAGAACGGAGTATGGAGCTAGGATTAGTCATTAGTGCTTGATGATGAGAGAGTTTTCCACCATTAACGATGACGAGTTGAGAAGTTAAAACCGTTCTTTTTCGAAGGAATTTGGGTTTAGAACGGAGTATGGTGGAGCTAGGATGAGTCGTTAGTGCTTGATGATGAGAGAGTTTTCCGCCATTAACGATCATGAGTTGAATCACAAATTTTCAAAACCAACCCCTTTCACTATTTATTTTCAAAAAACGACCGCTTTTGTAAAAAATTTCAAAAACCAACCTGGTTTTAGCCCTGGAACTGAAACCGGGTCGGTTTTTGAAAATTTTTATCCGAAAATTCACGGGAGTTGAACTCCCATGAAGTTTAGTAAAACTACTAAACTTCACAAGAGTTGAACTCTCTTACTAAACTTCACGGGAGTTCAACTCCCGTGAAGTTTCGTAGTTCAATTTTTTTTTTGAACTGCGAAACTTCACGGGAGTTGAACTCCCGTAAGGTTTAGCAGTTTTACTAAACTTCACGGGAGTTCAACTCCCGTGAGGTTTCTGAAGTTTCTTCACAAAAACCGACCTGGTTTCAGCGCCAATGCTGAAACCAGATCGGTTTTTGCAATTAAGTTTGAAAGGGGTTATTTTCTAGGATTAAATTTCCAAATAGGTTGGTTTTGAAAATTTGTCCTGAGTTGAGAAGTTCAAAGTGTTCTTTTTCGAAGGTGGAGTCACGGAATGTGGTGGGGACCGTAAACCAACCAAATATCTAGCAAACACTTTGATTCCTCCGAGGTGAATCCAAAGGGTTACTGTTTACGCTATGTTAAATGCTATAGTAAATATTTTATCATAAACAGTGAATCTATTCTATCCTCTGCACTCGAAGTACTATTCGTGCTTCAGTATTCTACTATAGTGTAAACAGTAAATCACTCTGCTCCTTCATACTTAAAGTTACTATTTATGTTATAGTAATTTACTGTATCATAAACAATAAATCAAATAAAATGTATTAAAAGTTTGATCCTTCTTTAAGTATAGAGGAGTAGATATGATTTCTAAATCAAATGTATTAGAACTTGGACCCTTCTTTAAGTATAAAGGATTAGATATGATTCCTAATTTTAAGCATACAATAATTAAACCAGATGTATTAAAACTTAGAATGAGGCAAATTTAAAATACAGTGCTTAAAAATAGGGGATTGTGCTTTGCACGGAGTGCACACTAGTTTATTTAATAATAAAATAAATAGTTTTTAATGTCGAGTTTATAAATGAAATAAAATTTAACCATAAGTATTTGATTCATTTGTTAATAAACTTTTCCTTTATATATTACACTTTAGATATTGTTATGGTGTTTACTTACCTAAGATGCGGATATTGGCAAAATAATACAATAAGAGTCCTAGTAAAATAACCTCAACACACTTAAGTGACCCAAGCCCAACAGAGGCCTCGATCCCACCGACTCGTCAAGCCAACACTCTGGTGCCGACACTAGAGGCTATATTGGTCGGCACGAGAGATCTTGACCTCCTAGACGAGTCGACATCTTTATATCGACTCGAAAGACGGTTATTAGTTGAGACAAGACGACATTCCAACCAGTCGAACAGGCTGACACTCCTGAGTCGACGCGAAAGGCTGTGTCTGTCGGCCCTATTATCGAAGACGACCTTACTCAGGGCACTCGATCACTCACTGGATTTTTTTCAGAAACGACTGAAGGGATATTCCCTGCTGTCGACTAAGTTGAGAACTCGGCCCCAGCCTCAAGCCTCTCTCCTAGGGCATATGTCAACATCTCAGTCTACCTGGGACAAGCCTTATCCAAATTTAGACCTGATAAGTCTTCATGACTTGTCAGCTCAATCACTTCCCAGAGAATGTGGAAACACACCCTCCCATAAATGGAGTGACTTCACCTCCAGTCGTCAACCGACACCTGTAGAGTGGGGGACGATTCAGTATGCCCATGTGCCTTCTGCCACGTTCATCTATCACTTCCCTGATATTGCGGAGACATTTTCCCCCATAACGAGGGGACTTCCCCTTTTGATCGCATGTCGACATCTGTCAAGGGGGGATAATCCTGTTATCAGCCACCTGGCCACTTGATATAAAAAAGGGAGCTCCTCTCCTCTCAAGGGAAGAGGAAGAGGGGAAAACTCTGACTGATGGAAATTGATCTCAAATAAGAGATACTAACTCTCTGACCTTCCCCTTTTCTTTTCCACTCAAGTTTCATTAACTTGACCGTCAGAGGAACCACAGGGGAACCGGTCCCCACCCTCTCACAGGTTCTTTTTTGTCTATGTAGTGCGGACATCAAGCCCTCGTTCAAGAACTAGGCATAAAGTCGAAGAGGGGAACGGTCCCTCCATCATCCTTCATCACCCCGCAATTATCCTCTTCTGAATTATCATGTTTGATATTGAGCATCAATAGTTTGGCGCAAAAAGACATGTCAAGTTTTGAACAAAGGTCTGATTCTAATCTGTTGTACCCTAGAGGGGGGGGGGGTGATTAGGGTCAAAAGGCTCTAATATGCAGTTTAAAACACACAACAAGCAATTCACGGTAAATAGATGCAAACAAGGTAAATAAGAGAGGGTTAGGAATCGTTATCCTTGACGCGCGATGTGTTAACGAGGTTCGGCCCTCTGGCCTACGTCCCCGCTCCCCACTCTCGAGGAGAAATCCACTACACAGCCGGTTTGGAAGCCGGAACTTCGTCTACACAGCGATCCCACACGATCTCTCTCACTACACAGTTTGATCTCAACAGATCACTCCCTCACAGTAGATCTTACTCAAGATCTCAACTACACAGCACAAGATAACAGATGTAGAACTCTCTCTTACAAAGCCCCTATGGCAAAGAGAACAAATTACTGAAGCTGGGAGGTGAGCTCACACAAAACCACAGAGAAGAAAGCAAGACTGATTTGAAAATTTTCTCAGCAGAAACAGAAAATACTCTCTCTGGTTTTTTCAAACGTTTTTGCTCAAGGAAGAAGAAGCAGCAGTAGGGTTTTTATAGAATAGATTAAAACAATTTTAAAAACCAAACCCAATCTTCCTGTTTAGGAAGATAATCCCCTTTACAGAGTCTTAGCTCAGACTGAGCCAAGCACAAAAGAGTGAAAGCACGACAATCGAAAATAAAAATGACCGTTTAAAAAATCTCGTGTTGACTGAAGGCTAGTTGAGATTTTGTGTCAACAAATACTAGGGATACATCTTGTCTCTCTACATGATCGCGTAAGAAATGATGGCGCACGTCAATATGCTTAGTTCTAGAATGCAAAACCGAATTTTTGGAAATATTTATAGCACTTGTGTTATCACAAAAGATTTTAATATTTTGGAAATGCAAATCATAGTCAACTAGACTTTGTTTCATCCATAAAACTTGAGCACAACATAAGCCGGCGGCAATGTATTCCGCTTCCGTAGTGGACAATGCAACACAATTTTGTTTCTTGGAAGCCCAAGAAACAAGGGAATTTCCTAAGAATTGGCATGTTCCACTAGTACTCTTGCGATCTACCTTACATCCGGCAAAGTCGGCATCACAAAAACCATATAAATCAAAAGAAGTGCTTCTGGGATAAAACAAGCCAAGATTAAAAGTACCATTAACATATTTAATGATTCTTTTAACGGCAATTAAATGAGATGCTTTAGGAGATGCTTGAAAACGTGCACATGCACACACACTAAACATGATATCGGGTCTACTAGCGGTGAGATAAAGAAGACTACCTATCATACCTCGGTATAGTTTTTGGTCCACATCTTCACCACTCTCATCCGCATCAAGCTTAACACTAGTACTCATGGGAGTAGGCGCATGCTTGGAATTCTCCAACTTGAATTTCTTCACCAATTCCTTTGCATACTTGCTTTGTGAAATGAAGATCCCATCCTTAGTTTGCTTGACTTGGAGCCCGAGAAAGAATGTAAGCTCTCCCATCATACTCATCTCAAAGTGATCCTGCATAACTTTAGAAAATTCCTTGCACAAGGATTCATTAGTAGCACCGAAAATAATGTCATCCACATATATTTGAACTAAAATGAAATCATTTTTCCTTTTTCTTACAAAAAGAGTGTTATCAATTGTTCCTTTTGAAAAACCATTTTCAACAAGAAAACTAGAGAGGCGAGCATACCAAGCTCTAGGAGCTTGTTTCAACCCATATAAAGCTTTGTGTACCCGGTAAACATGGTTTGGAAAATCATGATCAATAAAACCGGGGGGTTGCTCAACATACACTTCCTCTTCTATAAAACCATTTAAGAAGGCACTTTTAACATCCATTTGAAAGAGTTTAAAATTTTTGAAACTAGCAAATGCCAAAAACATCCTAATAGATTCCAACCTTGCAACCGGTGCAAAGGTTTCATCATAGTCTATGCCCTCCTCTTGATTGTATCCTTGGGCAACCAAACGAGCTTTATTCCTAGTAACAATGCCATGTTCATCAAGTTTGTTTCTAAAAACCCATTTTGTACCAATAACACTAGCATTATTTGGTCTAGGAACTAACTTCCAAACTTCATTTCTTTGAAAATTGTTTAATTCTTCATGCATAGCTAAAACCCAAAATTCATCATTTAAAGCATCATTAATTCTTTTAGGTTCTATGTGAGATAAGAATGCAATGTTACCACACTCACTCAAGGCTTTTGAGCGAGTAATAACTCCTTTTGAAGGACTCCCAATGATTTGCTCCTTTGGATGATTTGATGTGAATTTCCAAGCTTTTCGAGGTTCAACTTGATCTTGAGAGCTATCTATATCTTTATGAGCTTCTATGGAGGGAGTGTCATTTATTTGCAAGAAGTCCAATCCTCCCTCAATATCCTCATCATCATCTTTTCTAGGCAAAATAACTCGAGAGCAAACATTAGTCTCATCAAAAGTAACGTTTATAGATTCTTCAACAACGAGGCTTCGTTTATTGAAGACCCTATAAGCCTTACTTCGAGGTGCATATCCCAAGAAAATACCAACATCAATTTTGGAATCAAATTTATCATGGTGGTCTTTCGTATTTAAAATGAAACATTTGCAACCAAAAACACGAAAATAGCCAATGAAAGGAGTTTTCCCATAATAAAGTTCATAAGGAGTTTTCTTAAGCTTTGGTCTAATCAAAACTCGATTCAAAACATGGCATGCCG